TATTTTGCAACCGATGTTCTCTAGCCGTTTGTTTTTGTATCTTGTCATTTAATATTATTCTCTTACACAGTGTAAAGTATGGGAGTCCACCTGGAAACAACCGATATTGCTTATGATTTGTTCTAACATTTCACCACCCACCAACTTGATTAATTAATCTTTTCAGTGACTAATATAAATTAATGGGGGAGATAATATAAATTAATGGGGAAGATATTCGTCGGTGCATGGCTAAGGGCGAGCTCACATGTGTATTTATTATTTAATGTTTAGTAGTGCACAAATCCAGGACGAAAATTGTTATCAACTACTTATTTAATGCCATTGTGGTGTCCCCTTGTTGGAGGAGAGGAGGGGGCAACGTCATGCAAAAAAGCAGGGCTCATTAAAAAAAGGACCATGCTACAATGACAGAAAAAATGACACAAGGCCTGATCTATACTCACAACATGGGTGGGGGCCACTTTTTTTGAAATTATTTATTCAGGTCGGGCTCGCATGCCATGAGTGGGTGTCAAAGCATCGGTCAGTTCCCTTTTGTCAATCCGGTTTCTTCCTTAAAAAAAGACCAACTACGCAGCCATTAAAGACCGGTGGTAATTCTGCTTGTACAACACAGACCATCATCGTGGGCCCCCTCATGTGGGGAGGGGGTACCTCTTGCCATTGCTGGTACACGAGTGGAGAGCAAGCACAGCCCCATTTGCCTTGACGAGAAAACGGATATGGCTTATGCTTCTCTTCTTTCCCTTGCTCATATTCTTGATCATACTCTGCATCATGATTTCCATTTCGCGATTCATGATGAGGTAGAACAAATAATTGTTCTCCTAAAAAAGGTTAGTTTCTTACAAGATTTTCTTGACAATTCTTCATAGAAAAGTAGCAAAGCAATAGAAAGTTTAGAGAGTCGCATCATGGATGCAACACATAAAGCCGAGGATATCATTGAATCCAACATTTGGCGACAAGTTCTTGGAGAATCTAGGAGTCAAAGGGAGAATAATTGCATTTCTCTCTGCGTCCGTAAAATACCCTTATGTAGTACATTCAAGGCAGAATTAGAGAAAGTAATAGAAGAAATTGATACCATCAAGAAATGGATAGAGAAGATTGAGGATGAGAGTGACGTACAAGATCTGGATCCAGTGACTTGGTCGAGTGTTGCTTCATCAAAACCAGCTTCGAGTGACGGAATAGAAAAAATTGATACCATCGAGAAAAGGGCGGAGAAGATTGAGGGCGATAGTGACGTACAAGATCTGGATCCAGTGACTTGGTCGAGTGTTTCTTCATCAAAACCAGCTTCGACTGGCAAGATTAATATGGTGGGTCTTGATGATAACATGATGGTGATAAAGGATTGGTTGACTGGGGAGTCATCAAATCTTCAAACTATCTCCATTTTGGGTATGGGTGGAATCGGTAAGACAACTCTAGCTAGTAAGGTTTATAATGATGAATTTATTGTTTATCATTTTTACATTCGTGCTTGGTGACAGTATCTCAAGACTGTAATGTGCAAGAAATCCTTATAGGACTTCTAGATTCGATGAAGAAACTCACTAACAAGATTCGTGCAGAGACCACTCCAAAATTAAAAGAAATTTTGTACAAGAATCTAAAGGATAAGAGGTATCTTGTGGTGATGGATGACGTGTGGGATACCGAGGTTTGGGATAAAGTGAAAGGATTGTTTCTGAATGACAAGAATGGGAGTCGAGTCATGATAACCACTAGGCTAGATAACGTGGCTAGTTCTGCAAACTCTTGTTATCTGCCTCACCAGATGCGTTTTCTAAATGAAAAGGAAAACTAGAGTTTATTTTGTGAGAAAGTGTTTGGAAAAGATTGTTGCCCTTGTGAATTCGATTATATTGGGAAGAAGATAGTCAAAAGTTGTCGAGGGCTTCCACTTCCAATTGTTGTAATTGCAAGGCACCTCCCTAATGCCACAAGAACGCTAAATTACTGGACAAATGTTGGAGAAAAACTAAGTTCAGTCATAGCTTCATATGATGAGCAGTGCTCAAAGATATTATCTTTAAGTTATAAGAATTTACCTCATCATTTGAAAGGTTGTTTCCTTTATATGGGAATTCTTCCAGAAGATTCCGTCGTTCGGGTCTCCAAAATAGTCAAGTTATGGGTTGCAGAAGGATTAATAAAATCAGTGGAATCCAAAGTTTTGGAAGATGTGGCTGAGGGGTACTTCTTGGATCTTGTTGATAGGAATATTGTTTTGGTTTGTCAAAGGAGTTCCCGAGGAAAAATTAAAACGTGGAAAATCCATGATCTGTTACTTGACCTATGTGTGAGAGAAGCTCAGAGGCAGAATTTTTTTCATGTCAATGATAGTTATCTCCATGGGGTTTCTGAAGGCATTATCCTGCGCCGTTTAAGTATTCGTAGACGAGAAGAGGTTGATCATCCTACCAAAAATCTACCAAATTTTCTTTTGCGGTCTCTTCTAAACTTTGCCTGGAATTCTTCGGTGATAAAGTTGTTAGAAGGTATGCTACTGAAAGTGTTTGATGATATGGATACAATTTATCATCCAACTATAATGGCGGAAGTAGTTAACATGCGGTACCTCGCTTGCTGCTACCTGGATAAGTGGCTTCCTGCATCAATATACAACCTTAGAAATCTACAAACCCTTATTATTTATGACACAATGACGTTTATATGTTTAGGACTTAAAATATGGAAGATGACACGGTTAATGCATGTCTAGTTGTGGAGAATGATACGTTCTGAACCTCATAGTGAAGAAGCTCAGAGGGAAGAAAATTTTATTGTTCTAGAAAACTTGCAGACACTCTCCTTTGTAGTGGATTTCAAATGTACGAAGGATATCATGAAAAGAATTCCCAATCTCAAGAAATTGGGAATCGTTTATGGATATGATATGGTGGATTTGGAATACTGCTATCTCAATAATCTGGTCCGTCTACATTGACTTGAATCATTAAAATGCTTATTTTTCATGCCAAGACCATCTTTCTTGCATTACATCGTTTTCCCTCCTTCGCTCAAAAAATTAACTTTGCAAGGCATCTTCATTCCTTGGGAGGATATGAGGATTATTAGTTCGTTGCTTAATCTTGAAGTGCTCAAACTCAAAGATTCTTCCTTCTATGGACCAAAGTGGGAACCAAATGAAGGAGAATTTCTTCAACTGGAATATTTGCTAATTCAATACGTTGGTCTCGTCCACTGGAGAGCTAACAGTATCCACTTCCCGAGCCTTCAGCACTTAGTCCTAAGTAATTGCCTTGAAATGGAGGAGATCCCTTCCGGTGTTGGAGAAATTTCAACTCTTCAAATTATCGAGGTGCATTACTGTAATACTTCAGTTGTAACTTCAGCAAAGCAAATAGAAGAGGAACAACGGAGCTTCGGAAATGATGGCCTTCAAGTTCTTATTTGGGAGTTCAAGAAGTTGTAAACTTTTCGATACTATCCAACGTAGTTTCATTTCTTTCATTTTCACGTCTTGTTCACATATTTCTGAAGTAATTTCTTAGTGTATTGCAATATTTTAACCATAGAAACTTCATTCTGGATTTTATTGTGATGAACGAATCATATTCCAAAGTTGATAATTGAACTTTTTCTTGTGATTTCCAAACAAAAGTGCAACCAAAGATAGGCCTGATTGTGATTTCTTATTTAAATCAAAGCTTCAAAATGATGATTTCTTGAAGTTAGTATTATTTGTTTTCCTCTTCTTTGCGCTATATCAAGGCTTTACTTTGGACATTGGGCATGACGAGAGAAGGTTGCTCCACTAGCCCTCTTGGTGTATGAGAGCAGCGAAGAAAGAGGATTGAATCGTCAAAACGATGCTTAGTGTTCAAACACGTCCTCTGATCTTGAGGTGATCAAATTTTTTAGCAAAACTCTTGTTTGAGCCTCATTTTTCAAAACTCATTCTTAATCATACATTTTTTAACAAAATAATTTTACACATAAATAAAAAAAAATTCTTTACTTTTTAACTACATATTCTCCAAAAATTCATTATTCAAAAATATGTTTTTCCCTAAACAACCATGCTACTTAAATAGGAAATTTTGACAGATAACAGTTGACATGCATTCATTAGAAGGTGGAAAAAAATTTAAAAAAAAAAAAACGAATCACTTTCGTCACGTTAACTCTCTCAACATTCGTTGTTAAAACTCCATGTTTGAGAAGCTTAAGTCTTCCCTAAAATGGAGATTAAACAAGGGCAAAATCATAATTGGTGTGTTATATCATCAATGCTTAAGATAAACTAAATATCGTGCTTAAGAGATCATTTCTGTAAATTTGAATGAGACAACCATGAACCATGTGTGAATGCGTAAACACAATCGCCAAATAAAGTGAGAAGACCGACAAGACCCCTTCCCTATTTGAGAGATATTCTGATCAAGGTCTATGCAAAAGACCCTGGCAAAATAGCATTGTCCTTAACACAATCAAATGCTACGCTGGACAAGGCCATTGTAGACAACTACTTGAAGTGCCATGTAAATTAAGTGAATAGTGGCGAGAAAGTGAAAAAGCGTGTTTTACAAGATTGGTTAGAGGGAGAAAGTAGTGGCCTGGAGCCATTACATAGAGAAGCAGGTGAAGAGATGGACCCCCACATAGAAAAAGTGAGGTTTCCTTCTCACCTAGCACACACTTTGCACATACTAAAATTTAGAGGTGTAAACGGTCCGATTTTATTGATTTTAACAAATTTTCAAACCAAACCGTTTATACAGGTTTGAGAAAACTCAAACCTAAATCAAACCATTTTGAACGGTTTGAAAAAAACTCAAACATAAACCTAATTGTTTGGTCCGGTTTTAAACCGTAGGTTTCGCCGTATGTTTTTTTGCCCATCTACTTTTATGTCATTAATTTATTGAATCCAATATATATTTATATCTTACTAGCAATAAATTTAAAACAAACTAAGCCTCTGTTTGAACCAAATTTTTGGGACAAAAAAATGAAAATTTGGACCATTATCCCACAAGTCCAGCCGCCTTTGTTGACCTACTATTTCATGTGAGGGACCCAGCCTCCTCTTCAACGATCAATTTTTTCATTATGATGATATGAAAAATATGGCTCAAACAGGGGGCTAAATATATCTACTATAAATTTAAATATCAACTAAATCAAAGTAAAATCACAATAAACTAAAACATAGTTTTTTTTTCACATTTTTTAGGCTAATAACGATACAATAACGTTACAATACAAGTCTACTAAACTAGTTATAAGACCCAAAAAACATAATGATGTCCAACAAGATCTCACGATCATTATATCTAAAAAAATGATACTGATTAGACAAAGAGAATAACTAACCACAATAATAAAATAATTGTTTATAATATCTAAACATAACAATTACACAAGTTTACGTTTGTATGATGTTACAAAATGCATTTAATTTCATATTCTTAACTTAGTTTGCTCCAAAAGAATTATTGATCTACAACTTTATTCGTAGCAAATATTATTACCGAAATTCTAGGATCTCTTTGTCTCCGATTTGGTATAATGAACTTCAAAGTCTTCAATTCAATTTTGAAGAGGCATGAAAAACCCGAAAAAGAAGTGTGTGGTGTCGGTGGCTCAAGACTGTATTGGATGTCGGCTGTAGTTCATCTAAATTTTGAAAAGAAAAATGACTTTTGACATATTATGTTAGTCTTGAGATTATTAGATATAAATTAGGATTACTGAATAATATATCTGTATTACAAAATTATAAATTTACAAAAATACCCATAAATTGCAAAACTATTAAATTTTACATATTTGGATGAATTTTCAAAATTTTTCATTTTTTCAATTTTTTATTTTTATATATTTTTTCGTCGGTCCGATTTGGTTTTAAACTGCAATTAAAATTCTCAAACCTACACCAAACCATTTTGAACGGTTTGTTTGAGTCAAAACCATTTTGTTGACCGAGTTCACGTGGCACCAAACCGACGGCTTCTAAAATGCGGTTTTGATTCGGTTTTCCGATTTGGCAATTTTTGCTTACAATGTCAAACATAACTAATTTAGGATAATGATATAAAAATTAAAAATAATGTTGAAATGGACAATGCATTTTCCAAAGGAAATGACAGCAAATTAGGGAGAATTTGTTTGTTATGATTTTGCCATTAATATTGTTGAGTTACCTAAAATATAGGAATCATGGTATCGTAGTGATTTTGATCTGTTTTTGTATAATATTCAATAATTATGGGATCAAAATGTTTATATAGTATTTCCTTTTTATTGATTCTTTAGTCACTAAAGTTCTCATGGCCATGGCAGGTGAACTTGAACCTCGCATACACATACAAATGAAAAGCGCACATTTACAGGATTTTAAATTTCAGTTACTATAGAATAAGAGAGAAAGTTTTGAAACCGTAAAATAGGTATATTTATAATTTATCACAAGTATATAGTAATATTACGAAATCTTTTAGGGTAATTATATTACCACTATAAAACTTATTAAGTATTTTTAATTTTTTTTCTTATTTACTTAAATAGCTTTAAGTAAAATTATATAATCACACCACAAAAATTAACCTAATTTATTCTTCTTCTTTTCTACAATTGCAAGTTTGTAGCCGTCAAACACAGGTAAAATTTCATCATGGAAATGATTTTATTTATTTTTTTTTCACATCCGATAAAATCATGAAGGGGTTTGCAATCTATTATAAGAATTCTTCATGCTCAAAGAATTAAACAGATCATTCTTTACACTGTTATCTGTTGTGATTTTTTAATCATTCTTTCGCATGGAGAACATAGTTTCCTGTTGCTTTTAATATCTTCTTTAATTATCGCAAATGGTGAGAACAATGACGAAACTTTTGCCTGTTATCATTCTTTTTATATTTCTGCAGCATGATTATTGTAAAGCATCGTTTATCTATTGACATTCAAACTTATTTTATCTGTGGAAACTGGAAAAGGGCCATTCTTTTAGTTTATCTATTGCTTAAAACAGTGGTGAGTCAATCTTCATATTATATTTATATACTTCTACAGTCTACTCTTTGTTCTGCGTGTAACATTTTTCATTTTAATCATCTCTAGCCTAATCTAATGAAAGGAGAACTAACTCATGAATTGCTTGTTTGACGGAAAAAAATATGCGAAAACAGATAATCTGCTTCCTAATGGTGGATTTGAATCTGGGCCTGCAATCCTGGATTCTTCTGGGGAGGGAGTTTTACTGGTTTCGGGAGTCTCTAGAATACAAACAACAAAACGACTTTACGAGGGTTCTAATTATAACTTGGAATTCATGCTGAGAGAAGCCAATGGAGAGAGAGATGTCCGAATAAAGGAAAAATATAAAGTTTACTTGTGGTGTATCTGTGAAAAATATGTTTTCTCCTTTTTTATTATTTTTATTATATTAGGTATATAATTGTAAATTTATTGTGGTTCATTTACTAAAATTATGTTTTAACTGTGGTATGGATATAATGTGGTGTTGATATAACATTTTGTAGTAGTAACATAATTACCCAATCTTTTAAATTTATTGGGTTGATATGAATTTTCCCCTTTTTCCTCTTCGAACAGAACCTACCAAGTCTGCGTGCGAAATTTCCTCAAAATCTCTCTAAATATTCTTTAATTTTCTCAGTCGTGCTCGCGAGGAAAACTACTACGGCTGATAATTACTAAATCCAAATCAAAGGCCGTTTTCTCCTTCCAGAA